TACTACTACTACTACTACTACTACTACTACTACTACTACTACTACGACTACGACTACGACTACGACTACGACTACGACTACGACTACGACTACGACTACGACTACGACTACGACTACGACTACGACTACGACTACGACTACTACTACTACTACTACTACTACTTCTTCTACTACTTCTACTACTTCTACGACTACTATTTGTATTACTGCTACCATTACTGCGAATGGTCGAACCATCGGATGCCTGGATAGCGGCATCGTCTGTCGTCGTCCATCGTCGGCGTCGGCGTCGTCGTCGTCGTCTTGCGTCGTCGTCGTTGTCGTAGTCGTCGTCGTTTGCGTCGCAATCGTCGTCCGCCGTCAGCCGTCATCTGCTTTGGAGTCGGCGCCCGCCTCTGTGATACTGCTGCTCTCCCGCCTTCCTGCGCCTCCCTCCTCCTCCTCCTCCTCCTTCTTTTCCTTGCCCTGCCCCTCCCTCCCCCTCTCCTCCACCTCCTTCTTTTCGTCCTCCTTCCTCTCCTCCTTCTCCTCCTCCTTCTTTTCCTCCTCCTCCTCCTCCTTCCTTTTCTTTCGTATTCCTCTGCCTCTTCTCCGGGCTACCCGTCCGCCTGCGCCCCGCTCCCCTGATGAGAGAGGGGAGGGCGGAGGGGGATAAAGGGGGAGGCCGAGGAACAGGAGGAGCACAAGGAGGAGAGGAGAGGAGAGGGAGGAGCAGGGCGGGGATGACGAGGAGGACGAGGAGCCACAGCGCTCCCGAGGGGGATACGGCGTGCAGCGGCCGAGAGGAGCGGCCTTCGGCGGGACGTGCCCCGCGCAACACCCCGACGCCGCCCTGGCCCGACGCCTGCGATGGGCACCCCGCGTGCCCGCGTGCCCTGCGCGGCACTCGTGGGCGCCTTGCGCGACGAGCTCTCGGCGCCGGCGCCGGGAGCACAGCGCGGAGGGGGCGCCGAGGCCTCGGCCGGCGCAGCCCCAGGTGGTGGTGGTGGTGGCTTGGGTAAGCGATCTAGTGAGGCCTCGGGCACTGCCTCTTTAGAGTGCTCTCGCCGTCGACCGCGGTGGCCCTCTCCTCGCGCAGGCTGCGCTGGGGCCCTTTGCCGATAGCGAGCGCCGACTGGGCCTTCTGCTGCTCCTCTATCTCTCTCGTCGCAAACTGCTGCTGCGCCCGACCCGCGGCGTCGTCCTACGACGTGGCGTCTGAATGAAGGCGGGCACAGCCACGCGCGGGCTTGGCGAGGTCCGAGTACACCGTCACCGACCCTGCCACACGCCGAGCTGCCATCTTCAGACCTATCAGCCCGCCCAGGTTCACCTGGCCATGCATGGCCGCCCAGCACAAGATGACGCCGAGCACCCGCAGCTCACGTGCCACCCTGTCGTTCTCGCCCAGGCTCCTAAGCCTCAGGGACTCTCGAAACCGCAGGCACGGGCCCCTGTTGGAGCGCATCATGTCCTTGCACGCGGTCGGGGCCGATGCAAGCCCCTCTATCGGCTGGCTCGGGAATGTCTCCTGAGAGGGTTCGCAGCAGGCAGCACGGAACGATCTGAACCGCCCGCTCTGCGGACAACACTCCATCTCCAGGATGCGAAAATCCTCGCCCGGAGGCGGACCATCCGCTGCAGGCGGCGTCACCGCGCCTCCTTCCCCAGTCGTCGAGGCCTCCTCAGGCGCCGAACGTCAGCCCAGGCCACCGCAGCGGCCGACGAGCCGCCGCCCTGGCACCAGGTGCCTCCACCACTCCTGCCCCGCGTCTCGCGGGGGCAACGCCATCTCCCATGACCGTGGTGGTCTCCGCAGCCCCTCGGGCCGAGCCGCACCAGCGCCTCGCGCAGCGGCCAGCTTCCAGCAGCAGCGCCACCAGCAGCCCAGGGACCGCCGACAGGAGGACGCCGATGGGGTCCTCCTCCGCCGCCTCGGGAGCCAGGTCCACCGCCGGGCAGACCGCGGGCGCCGACGGGCACGGCGGCGCCGTAGGGCAGGGCGGGCAGTCCTCACCTGGGCCCCCGGGCGGGAACCGCGCGGGCGGGCACGCGGCCTCCAGCACGCAGGGCGGGAGCGCCGATGGCAAGAACGGGGAGAACGGGCTCTGGTACTGGAGGGACGCTGAGCGCAGAAGCCCCAGGGCGAGGACCGCCCAAGGTCCGACAGGCACCTGGGCCAGTCGAACCGAAGAAGGCTATGGAGTCCCAGGGTCCCCCCAGTTTGAACGGCTCGTTTTGACGTGATGCATCAAGTCATTTCGCTCACAACCTTCCCGTGCATGCACTGGCATATGTGATTCTGGCACTTCCAAATGTATTTCTGGTAGGGTTTAACATGCTTTTGGTCGGGTTGGATATGCGGCTGGTCTGTGTGGATTTGTTTTCGTCTGGTTTGAATATGTTGCTGGTCTCTGGACGATTACGATATGTCCGGGGTGTCGCGGCGCGCTGCCCCCTTGATCGCCGAGGCACCCCCGCGGGGCATACCATAGATCTGCCAGCTACAGCACCAACTGCCCCTCCTGCTCGAATCGAATTCTCGTGCGAGCCCCCGCAGACTCGCCAAACTCGGCGGGGCGGGAGGGCGCGGACCAGGGGCGCAGCGGAGAACGTGCACAACGGTCAACGCATTGCATCCTGGCGGTCGGGACTCTCGCAACCCTGGCGGCCTCGAGAAGCCCGCGCGAACCTATATCGAGGCCCTGGCGGGGAGCAGATCGGGCGCGGCGACGACATCGAAACACCATGCATGCTTTACAGAATGCACGCCCGAGACTGAAAGGGCCCTGGGACAGACAAATAAATACACACAAATAACATGATTCCCCATATTTTCCAATATTTTCTGGGTTTTTGTCCTCCCCCCCACTTCCGATATTTTCCCACATTCTCCTGGGAGTCGGCGATTCATTGTGTCTGTGTGTTTCTTCCCCTCCTTAGAGACCTCGAGGCGCGAGGCCCCAAACCCCCACCCCACGCACGCCAGCTCACGCTGACCCCGCGCCGCCCTCGCGCCAGGGTCGCGCCGGACCCCCCTGGGGGCACTTCGACTCCACGCGCGGCCTTCACAGAAGGAAGAGAAGGAGGAGGAGGAGGAGGAGGAGGAGGAGGAGGAGGAGGAGAATAAGGAAACATAGAAATCCTGAAGGAGGAGGAGGGAAGAAAAAGAAATCATGAAGAAGGAGGAGGACAAGGAGCAGGACAGATAGTAATCATGAAGCGCCGACGCTGCCGTCGCCGCCGCCGTGGTGGCCGTCACCACCACGGCCGCCGCCATCGCCGCCGCCGCCCGCGGCCGTCGCCGCGGCCACGCCGCCGACGTTGCCATCGGCGGCCCTTGCCGCTGCCGTCGTCGCCGCTGGCGGCCGCCGCGGACCGCGGCCGTCGCCGCCCGCGGCCACGCCGCCGCCGTCGCCGTCGGCGGCCGTTGCCGCCGCCCGCTGCCGCCCAAGGGTTCCCCACCAGGGGTCCTGCAGCGTGCGCACGGTGGCGCCGAAGCGGTGCTGGCCCGCCGCGGGGGGCCGGAACGCCGCCCCGCGGGGCGCCGCCCTCTCTGCGGGGCGGGCGCTTGCGCGGTGGCCGTCGTCGGCGCGGTCGTCGTCGGCGGCCGTTTCGGTTCGGCTTTCGAGCCGGGCGATCTCGCAAGGCTGCTCGAGCTCGCAGGGTGGCGCTCAAGGTCGCTCGAGCTGGTGGCGCTCAAGGTCGATCGAGCTCGCAAGGTCGATCGAGCTCGTAAGGTGACCCTGGGGCCATCACATGTCGATCGAGCTCGCAAGGTGGCGCTCAAAGACGGGGTCGAGGGCTCTGGTTGACTACCTACCAAACCACTCCAACCCAACCCGAAGACCTGAATTTGACCCGAATTTCGGGTTGGGGGGGTACGAGTTCCATGTGTTTTTTCAATGTTCCCCGACCCCCCCCCCACTGGAAATGGAAGGCAAATCGTGGCCTTCGGGTTGGGTTGGGGTGGTTTGGTGGGCGGTGACTGGTGATATTTGTCGATGTCTCGGCTTTTCCAAGCCGCGCGTTTCCGTACAGGTCTCAAGCTCCGGGGCCGTCACTGGACCCAAAATCGGCACCTCGCGCAGGAAGATGGGGTCCAGGGCTCTGGTGGTGACTTGTCGCGATTTCCTCTTTCGTTCGCGCCGTCGGATCTCAGGGGCCGTCGTCGGCGCGATCGTCGTCGGCGGCGGCCGACGGCGTCGGCGGCGTCCGACGTCTGGGGATCATCTGGGACCCGATGCGGGTCCTTTTAGGAATCTCCTGGTGCCCTCTTGGGGCTCTCTTGGGTCTTTTCGGGTTTCTTGGGGCTTTCCTGGGGGCTCTTTGGAGGGGTCGTGACGCCCACTTTGGGTGATCCTGGGCGACCGTGACGTCACCGCCAGCCTCGGAGAGTGACAAATTAGGCCCGCTGGGGCAGGTTTGGAAAACCTCCTGAGGGGCCTCTTGGACCGTCTGGG